GGCGGGGACGGCGCGCCCTCGCCGTCCAGGTCGAAGAGGCTCTCGAGGGCGCTGTCTGGGATGGAGACGCGGCCCTTTGAGTACTGCCGCGCTATGCCATGGAGCACGTCGTACTGCGTCGCGGGCGCGCCTGGCCGCCGCCATGGCGCGTCGGCGCCGCCGCTGCCGCCGCGGCCACTGCTGCTTGGTGCCGCATCCTTTTCCTCTGCTACGGCAGCTGGCGTGAGCCTGGGCCTCCAGGCGGCCCTCATACGCCGTTGCTGCTGCCTAAGGCCGTGCGCGGGCCAGGCAGCGGGCGCGTAACCGCGCAGGGATGGCGCTCTCAAAGAGCCCATCGAATGTGGCAATGTACGCTCGAGCATGGCCGCTGAACAGGCCCTGAGATCGACGAGTGTGTCAAGGGTGCTGGGACGCGCAACAAGCGCAGTCGCGCATCTGCCAAATGCTTTTATAACAATAGAAACACGCAGGCGATGCTAATTGCGTAGAGGCTGGTGTTCCACGGGTAAGGTGTGTGCGTCGAGGAGGCTGCTGCTGCTTGTGCTGCTTCGCTTCACGTGGCGGCCAGGTGGGCGGCGTGGCCGCAAGTGGCGCGGCTTCCGGTGCACCGCCGGGCCTGAGCGTCGTACGGAACATCTACAAATGGTGCGGTTGCATCACGGAATGCACCCTCTTACTCGCGGAGGCTGTCGTCCTCAGATGAAACCAGCCCGTGGTTGACCCCGTCAGCAGGCCCTCAGCTCTAGGAACTGCCAGCGGCTTGACTCTAGTGCAGTACTGCCCCCTTATAGAGCGTTTGCTAGCCAACAATTATGACTGCTCCGGCCAGCGCGTTTGATCGCGCATTAGTTGTGTGCAGGAACAGGGGCTGCAGCGCTTGTGCTCCGCCGGGTCCTCCATGCCGAGTGCACCGCTCAGTTTAAGTTGCCACGCGCCGGGCTACCCTTCACCCCCAACAAACACACCCCCACCGCTATGCGTGTGCACTTCACCCTATCTGCACACACCACGCGGCCCGCAACTGCCCCCAAACCCCCACGACGCACGGCAAGCCAACCGACCCCGACGCGCCCACGCTCACCACTCCCTTGAACCATCCCTCCTCCAGCGGCCACCAGACGCTCACGCGCGCGCCCACCGCGCCCTCGCCGCGCGCGGCGAGCAGCCCGCCCTCCGAGCCGGCGGCCGCCGCCTCGCGGGCGCGGGCCATCAGGCAGAGCCTGCGCTGGCTGCCGCTGGTCTGGGCGCAGCCCTCGCAGCGCATGCACCTGCAGGCACATGCAGGCGCCCATGTCATTTGTGCGATGCATGCTGGACCGCCACGGAAGATAGGTGCACATGATGTGATGTCCCTGGCTGCATGCAAGGGCACAGCATGAGGGAATCCCAGACTCAGGGGCCAGAACCCGTCCGACGCCCCGCGTACCTCTGCTGCGCGTCCGACGCCGCGCCATCGCCGCTCTGCGTGGGCGGCGCGCCGCGCGCCGCCTGCCCCTGCCCTTGCTGCCTGTGCGGCTGCGGGGCTGCCCCAGCCGTCCCTGCTGCCGTCGGCTGTGGCGCCTGGCACTGGACGGCCAGCGGCGCCAGCAGGGACGAGGCGTCCAGCTCCATCCAATCGTCGCAATCCTCAGCTGAGCTTCTCTGCACCTGCGCCCGCACCTGCACTTGCACCTGCGCCTGCACCTGCGCCTGCGATTGCGGCTGGGCTTGCGGCTGGGCTTGCGGCTGCACCTGCGGCTGCGGCTGTGCCTGCGTGGCTGCGTCGCCTGCCTGCACTGCCGTGGGCGCCGAGGTTGGTTCCACCGACAGCCGCTGCGTCAGCGCCTGGACCTGTGCTGCGGGCGCGATCGCGCGTGCGGCGGCTGCATGCCAGCCGTCCAAGGAACCGCACCCCAGCAGTCGCAGCAGCAGCTGCCCCAGGCCGGGCTGCTGCTGCTGTTGCTGCGCCAACCCCCGCTGGACCTGCAGCTGCAGCTGAGTTTGCCCTGCGCGCTGCTGCTGCAGCTGCTGCTGCTGCTGAAGCTGCTGCTGCTGCTGAAGCTGCTGCTGCTGCTTCTGCTGCTGCTGAAGCTGCTGCTGCTGCTGCTTCTGCTGCTGCTGCTGCTGCTGCTGCTGCTGCTGCTGCTGCTGCTGGTGCGGCTGCTGCTGTTGAAGCTGCTGCTGCTGGAGCTGCTGCTGTTGAAGCTGCTGCTGCTGGAGCTGCAGCTGCTGCTGCTGCTGCTGGAGCTGCAGCTGCTGCTGCTGCTGCTGCTGATGCTGCTGCAGCTGCAGCTGCTGCTGTTGCAGCTGCTGCTGCTGAATCTGCTGCTGCTGCTGCTGCAGCTGCTGCTGCTGCTGCTGCTGCTGCTGCTGAGTCACCTGGCCCCCCAGCAAGGCAAGCAGCGCCGCTGCGTTTGCTACAGGCCCCGCCCGCACCGCCTGGCCCGGGGATCCCATGCAGGCAGCCGCAGCTGTGCCCTGCAGTCCCCGCTCCCTTGTTGAAGACGAGCCGCCCTGCAGAAGGGGCCGCATGAGGGTAGCCTGTCGGTCGCTCACCGAGGCGTGCTGGTGCGAACAGGCGGCACGGCACTGCTGCGGCGCTCAGAGCATTCATTCATTGAGGACTCAGACTCACCTGGGCGCCAACACATGGCAGGTTCAGGTGCGTGTATGCGCATGTGCGACACGCGCCGCAGCGCGCACCGCCGCACTGCGCTCCAATGGCCTCTGGAGCCGCGGCGGCCGCCAGGGCTGCGCTATATGCCTTGTCTGCTGAATTTGAGCCCTTCGGACGCTTCGGCGCGGGCCCGCTGTCCCGCGAATTTGCGGGACCCAAAGCCCCGGCCGCCGCGGGCGTAGCGGTGGGCGCCGCCGACGTTGATGCCGCCGCTGACGCCGCTGCCGCCGCCGCCACTGCCGGTTGCAGCGACGGCTCCTGCTCGGGCGGCCGCGGGAACAGACGGTCCGCCTCGGCCTGTGGCATGAGCAGGTGCCGGCCGCGGGCGCGGAAGCTGCCCAGCAGCTTCGCGGCGGCGGCCGCCTCCGCCAAGGCGGCGGGGTACAGCTTGGGCAGTAAGCCCTGTTGCCGCAGCAGCTTGGCATGGCCTGAGGATGTTGAGAATGGGGGCATATCGCTGTTGTCGCGACTTGCAAATCGTATCCATCAGCATGTGTGAGGTGGTGCTGATAGCGGTCATTACCGAGTGTGTGCAGCAGCCGTCAAACCTCGCCCAATGGTGCATGCAGCCGCAACTAGTAAGAGGAGTCATCGGACCGCCTGCCCACCTTCCATCATCCGCCTGTACTCCCCAAAGGGCAGCAGCTCCCCGCCCCGCCGCCACTCGAAGGCGCCGCCCCCAAACCACAGCACCAGCAGCAGCCGCCCCTCCGACGGCGGCGCCGCCGCGCCCTCGCTGGCCGCCGCACGATCCCTGGCCGCCGAGGCCGCGCAGGCGCCGCCTGCGGCGTGCGCGCCGCCGGGCCGCAGCACCCCCATGAGCTGCCAGAGCGCGCTCGGCGGGACACAGGCCCGCAGGTCCGCGGCGTCCGGCAGCGCCATCACGTGCTGCAGCCGCAGCTGGAAGCTTCCAGGGGGGGACCACGGATCAATAACCTCACAAGGCCACCAGAGGGGTATGGCCCCCGGCGCCGCGCGTCCGCCGCGCGGCGCGGGCGCGACAGCCGCAGGCTCTACCGGCGACGGTGGCGGCGGCGAGGCCGTGTCGGGAGCGCCGCGCGGCGCTGGCACCGGTGCCGCTGGGGGCGGCGTGGGGGGGCCGGCGGAGTCGTCTGAGGCTGCGGCGCCGCCGTTGTGCGTGCTGGGGCTGCTAGTTTGCTCGTACGTTTTGGTGAGCATGTTGAATTCGCCTGGTTCCTGCTGCTGCTGCTGCTGCTGCTGCTGCTGCTGCTGCCGCAGTTGCGGCTGTTTCTGCTGCTTCTGCTTGTGCTCATCTGCATGCGCAGGCGTGGCAACAGGTTCACCGACTGGCTGCTGCGCTGCCGCCGGCGTCGACGGCCCGACCGCGCCGCTATCACTCGTGGCTGCTACCTTGGGTGCAGAATCCGCCCGCGTGCCCTCCTCGCCCCGCGCTTGCGCAGCCGGCCGCATCCCCTTCCCGCCTCGCCGCCCTGCCTGCACGGCCGCCAGGCGCCGTCGTACGTTCGTGGCGGGCGGCGCCAGCACGGGCAGCGGGAGCGGCACGCAGCCCCACGCGAGGGTGCCGATCGCCGCTGCTGCAGCGGCGCGCTGCCGCGTAGCGGCCGCGGACGTGGACGCCTCGTCAGCGGCCTCGGAGGAGCCGAGGAAGCTGCCAGGGGCGCGGTTCTTCTGGTGGAATGCGAGCAGGCGCGGCTCCTCCCTGCATGACAGAGCAGCATGAGGAAGCGTCAGCTGTCTAGCGAGGAAACAAACTACAGCACGCAAATGCCACACGCTGTTCGCAGCGCTGCACCTGCTAAGATTGAGGAATTTTCGAGGCCAGAGGCTGGCCCCGGTAACAGGGGCGGGAGCTGCCGGCCCCGGGGTTTCGGCGGGGCAACGTGTCAGCACCTGCGCATGTCGATGCCGGCAGCCTCAAGGTGGCGGATGAAGGCGGCCAGCGGCTGGCGCACGCGGGCGACCTGCGGACATGACGAGCCGCCCGCATGTATTTGGGGGAGGGAAGGGGGTGCCATTTAGGGGGTGGGTGAGTTTGCCCCAAGTGGGGCCGTGCTTGTGGCTTTTGTCATGGGCAGGTAATGTGCCATCCTTACCTGCAGTGCAGCGGCCTGCACCCCTGGGCCCGCCTGGCTGGATCGGCGGTGGAAGGCCAGCAGCAGCATCACGCAGAAATCCCGCTGTGAAAGGGGTCCTCATCATGCCAGGAGCCAGGGCCTTGGTGCTGTCACATGACGAGTGATGTCATCCAAAAGGTGCGGCGGGCGCAGCACCTCCCCCACCCCGCCCCTCTCCCACCCACCGCCAGTTGCTGCAGCGGCCCACCTGCTCCACAAAGTCTCCAAGGGGAACGAACGCCTCCTTGACGGGCGCGGCGCTCAGGTTGCACACACAGTAGCGGCCCTGAACACGGCAACGGCCCGCCCAAACGCATCCATGCGGGCGGCCACGTAGGGGGAAGGTCGATGTTGAGGATTATTGGATGAATCTGGGTTCAGGCCAACTCGCAAGGATTTATTACCTGGTCGGAGGGACGCTTTGCTCGACCGGCTACGTCTAGGCGGGGGCAGTGGGGCTCCGCCCGGCGATCAAGCGCCAAGGGTGCAAGGGGAGCGCTCGAGGCGCCGGCGGCGAGCACCAACAAGACGACATTCTGACACGCCTGCCCAAAGCATCGCACACATCATGTGCGGCCCCGCCCCACCTGATCTGCGAGGTACCAAGCGGCAGCCGGCCACCCTTGGTCGCGCTCCTCCCCCCGAGCAGCAGCCCCCGTCGCCCCTCCAGCTTCCGCCACGGCCCCTTCAGCTTCCGCCGCCGCCGCCGCCGCCCCCGACGGGCTCTCGCCCTCCTCCGAAGCGTCCGCGCCGCCCGCGGCGCCGCCCCCGCCGGCGCCGGCGGGCGCGCCAACTGCGTCGCCGTGCGGCTGCGGCAACTGCTGCTGCGGCTTGTGATCATGCGGGCCCTCCCGGTGGGGTGTCGGGGGCGGGGCCTGGCTGGGGCTGGCTGACTCAGCAATAAGTCCGTCGCCCGCGCAGGCGCCGCGGCCGTGCAGGGCGTCTTCCCTATCCTCCCTCAATTCAGAAAGCGCCCTGTCGGGATTGCGGACGGGTGAACCGTTTATTAATGCTGCCAGCACAATATGTGAATAGTCAACACACAGATTGTGCCGGCGAGGACAAGGTGCTGGGGCTGTGATCCGATTTTGACGCACAGCCAAAATCAAAGCGGGCCTGGAGCCTGCCATTGGAGAGATACATCTGTCAGGTGCGCTTTGCGCGTGCATTGATGCCTCATACAGGAAGCTGCCCCGCACCTGCCATTCAGCAGCGCGGACTGCCAGTCGGAGGTCAGCGGCACGTCCCCTGCGGCTGCGATGTACTTGAGTGCGCACGGCCGCGCAAGCCGCTCCCCAAGCCAGCGCGCGACCTGCAAACGCGCACGTGCGTGTGTATGTACGTGTGTGCGTGTGCATGTGCAGGAACACATGGGTTCCCATGACTGATTCACAGGTCGTGTGGCTCTGGAGGGGCGTTAGGGCCACAAGCGGTGATGGCCGACAGTCTGTTCAGATCCCTGGATGCCCTGACGCAGTGCGCAAAAGGCCGGCCGCAGGCGCGGTTCGCCGCGCTCGCCTGCACGTTGGTGGCCGCGGCGACGAGCGCCGCGCGGCGCTTCTCCAGCGCCTGCGCCTCCTGGTCGCGGCTGATGGTGGCGCGATGCTGGCCCACGCCGGGCGCCTGGACCGGGTAGCAGGGCCGCGTGTGGCCTTCGGGCAGTCCCTGGTGAAGAGGAAAGGTCCAGGAGCCCAGCCTTCGATGCGAATGCGACAACTCGAGCTGTGAGCAACTGGTCAGCAGTCTTGCGGGAGGAGACGGAGTCACGTTGTTGCGAAAGCAGCTTGTTCCGCTGGGCTGGCGTTGGGACGTCTGAAACAAATTTCGCATGAAGGCTCCGCCGCATGAGGTCGCCGAGGTCAAAGCGTGTTTGACCGCCATTCTGCCGCACCTGCAGGCGCTCCCCGTCCTCCACCCTGAGTGTCCCGTAAGCGCCGCTGCTGAGCAGCAAGGTGACGCCGCCGGCTGGGGGCAAGGATTCAATGCAGTCCACAGAGGGCTCGCTGCAGGGTCAGTACGTGGGAGGTGCGAATGGAAGGGTTTCTTACGCGGCTTTTGAGTGGAAACCGAGTGCCCTCAAGGGGTTGTGTTGTGGGTAATACTTACGCAAGGTTGCGCATGGCTCAGGGTCGAGCGTGGGCGGGTGAAAAAGCAAGCGCCAGGGCGCGGTTTGGTCCAAGATGCACTTGTTTAACAACGATTAGGTTGGCTTTGGGGACGGGCGGGACGGGCAGGGCAATGAATTCATAAGCATGAGGGATGAGAGCTGCGATGGAAGTGTGGTGTCAAGCCACGGATGAGGCTTGACCAAAATGTGAAAACAAGAGCGTGCCTGCACCGCAAAACATTGCTTGGCCAGGTGGGCCGGGTGCGGGTTGTCTGTGCAGCCCGGTTCAAATCGCCGCAGCACGCGCGAGCCTCCTTGCAAGACTCCCCACCTGCCGGGAGCGTTGGGGTCTAGGGCAAAGGAGTCACGCACGATGGGGGCGCCGCGCCCCACCGCTAGGTCCTTGTCCTCTGGCCTGCCATGGAAATACGGGGCAGTGCAAGGGCGGCGCGGCAGTTTGTGGGGGCCTTGTGTAGACACGTGAAGGGGCAGGCCACAGAAGATAGCTGTGGAGGGGATTGCAGCGTTGGGCGCGATTGTCCGGAGGCTCGCGGCGATGCAGCCATGCACAAGAGGGGGGCAGTTGTGCTTAGTGAACCTGCATTTGGAGGCAGACCTGTCGCAAGACACGATTCGCAAGACCTGATACAATCTGAGATCACACCAGGACATCGGCGGCTCACCTGAAGCACTCCCAGCAGTCCGCCCCCACCAGCCCTAGGCAGGCGCCACGGCAGGTGAAGCGGCCCTGGTCAAACATGAGTGGGTTGGTGAAAGGCGAGGGAGAATTGAGAAGAGATTGGGCCACCGCTCACCACCTCCATTGCAGCCCTCCGCATGATCTTCCACATTGATCAGTGCGAGTGCTGCAAGCCAACACCATATGTGAGTGGTCCCCCCCTTGGACCAACACAACCTCTAGTCTTGCCCTTCCTGCCGCCCCTTAAAGCTGTGGAAAGCACCCCTGATTGATGAATCGTGCACCTCAGCGCTGACTTGTTCATGAGATACATGCACACTGCCGTGAACAAGGTCATGAACATGCACCCTGTCTTATTCACGACAACATAGACTCACATACTTGCTGAAGCAATCACATAACACATAACAAAAGGCATAGGCAAGTGATCCCGTATATGCCCACCTCCGCCAGCAGCACGTCTCGCGCGTCGCCGTGCCTCGACGCCAAGAGGTACACCCGCCGCTCCGCCAGGGGCGCGCCAAACCCCGCAGCGCACACCTCTCGCTGGGCCCAGCTGCGGCGCGCGGTTCGGGGGTGGTGGAGGGGGCGACGGGCCGTCCACTCTTGATCGCGCCATTTCACTTGCGCCGCCACATGTTTCTGCTGTGTGCTTCATGAGCGAGACACCGGGCAAACAGGTTACGCACCCCCCCCCTGCCCTTGCCAGTGCTTATTGCGGCTCCGGTCATTTGCCCCATGAGCGCCTTTCTGCACAGCGATGTGGTATTGCAGGTCAAGTGACAACAAGTGTGAATGATTACGGGATGCTTGCCACGGCCTCACCTGCGGTACCCCAACCCCTCCAAGTCAGCCGCAACGCCCGCCACCAGCGGGGCCGCGCCATGCCACTGCCCAAGCGCCGCGGGCGGCTGCGTGACGGCGCAGGGCGGGGCGGCGCGAGCGGGTGCTCGGGCGGCGGGGTCGGTGCGCGGCACAGCAGGGTGCTGGCAGGGTTCCACCGACAGAGATGCGAACAGGCAGAGGGACCAAAGGGCGGCGTGCACGCACCAATTCTACTGGCTGGTAGTGATGGTGGATCCGGCTGCCGCGGTCAGGTCGGCGCGCAAGGGGGCGGGCGTGGCGGCGCTCACCAGTTCCAGGAGCACCCAGGGAACGGGCCTGCCGTCGCGCAAGGCTTGGGCGAGCAGCCTGAGGACGTGGCAAAGGCCCGACAGGGACTGAGAGGAGGGGCCCATGGAATGTGAGGCAGAGGAGATTGAGGAATTTGTTGTTTGGGGGGCGATTGGACTCAGGTGGGCGCGCACAGCTGTGACCACAGCAAAAAGGTCATGGGGGATGCGTATGCGTGCACAAGTGCATGCATGCGTGTTGATGACAGCATATAGGCACTGCATGTCCCAGTCATCACGCATGCCTCACAGAGGCCTGCCTGCATTGTATGCACGCTGCAAGCCTGCATGCATGCATATGTGCGTGCGTGTGCGTGTGGGAAAGCGCATGAGGGCTCACCAAGGGGTTGACCTGTGCCCTGCCACCAGCTCTGGGCCCGCTTGCAGCAGCAGGCGGCGCCGCAGCCACCAGCTCCGCCCCCTGGCAGGGGGTTTGCGCACAAGGTCGCGCACACATCAATCAGCAGGGCCGTGGCAGCCCCCCACCCGAGCCTCAAGCTGTATCGGAGCCCTGCAAACAACACCACCCCCACCCTGCTGTGCCGCTGGGCTCGCGGCGGCGCACAAGGGCTCGTTGGCCGCGCTGCGACGCGGCTGCATCAGCGAGGCATGCTGTGCCCAGGGTTTCTTCAAAATTGCATCATCGTGATGTTGTCGTACCGCGTTTTTGAGGGGCTGCATACAATCCAAGTATCTCCTGTCTATGCAAGCTCACCTCTGGTAGGGCCCGCAGGCCGCAGACGTCAGGCTCCAGCAGGACCCCAGGGAACGCCCGCCGCAGCACCTGCAGCAGCAGCGCGACAGCGGACCGCATGGTTCCGTGCACACGCCCCACGCCATGGCACCGGCAGGCGCCCTGGCCCGAGGGGGCATGACAGGCATGGCTTATAGGCGCAGCCCCCTCGCTGTGTGCACCTCCATGGACCGTGGCGGCATGCACTGGGCCTGGCATGGGGCAAGGAAGTGGAGTGCACACGTGCCGCCCAAGAGGCCCACGACTGCGCACACACCTGCTGGGCGCCGGGGTCGCTCTCGCACTGCATTATGATATCGTGGCCGGCCTGCGGGTCAAGTATGAAGTGCCAGACGCAGCACGCCATTAGGGGACGCGACTTTGGTGACGTCGAGGACTTCAGGCCGGCAGGCGCCTGCATACGCCCAACGGACAGTAAGAGCGGCAGGCAGCACCGCAACTCTTTCCCGTTCGCGCCGCCGCCGCAAGCGGCACCAGTTGTCGGCCAGCTCAGATCTGGGTTTGAGTGCGCGCGGCGGCCGCGCGAGCTGGCACCACCTGCTGTAGGCCTAGATCGAGCCCGCCACAGCCGGTGAACAGTGACACCACGCGCATCCTGCAGCAGCGCCAGCTTGCGGCTTCCAGTTCCGGTCGCGCTTCGTACACAAAATATGGTCCAAGCTCAGTATATCGCCTTTCACCCGATCGGGCACTGCGATCTCAGATCCGTGGTGGCGCGCCTTGCTTTACGTATGTCAACAACGCTAAATGAACGCGCCAAATGCAATGCCTGCTGAGCGCCCTACATATCTAGCAGATGACGCAACTTGGAGCATTGCGCGTGGTGCCCAGCGTGATGGTGCCCGGGTCGTGCCGCACGTTTCAACCATGAGCTCGGCCCATGCCCTGTCATCCCTGCACCCCACCGGCGGGCAGTCCCTTGTCAAATTTCAAGTGCCCTTTGCACATTTCAGAATCCGGCTGTACGCATCCTCAACATTTCCATTACACAGCTCTGGTTGCTGGCAAAGCAAAGGAATGTACGACTTCCAGCTGACTATGCAAGTACTGCTGCGCAGCCCATGCGGGGCAGGGATGCCAGTTGTTGACGCACATGGCGACATTTGTTCTGGAGGGGCCGAGAAGAACACCCCAAACATGCAATGGCCATGGCTGGGCAGCTGTGCAGGTACTATGTAGTACGATCGGCAGGGGGTCCAATCATCAATTAGGTATCAAACCAAGATTGAGTAGAAAACGCAGCAGATGAGCAGAAACGCTGCATGAATTTCGACAATGGAGCGCAAACCTCTTGCTGGCGTGCCAGTGCATACGCACGCACAGCGTCAACGCAGCCCACCAGCCCTAGAGCTGAACACGCAAAGGTCGATGCAGCAAAGAGGCCAGATTGGGAGGCCAACAAAAATGCACGCAAGGGTGCAGCTGTGTGGCACCCAGAAAATATTGGTTTTGGTTTGACCAGGCTGTGTGCGGCCGCGCGCCCCTGGCGGCATTGGGGATGGTGCAGGCGCGCGCTCAAGGCGCGTGTAGGTGTGCTTTAGCTGGGTTGAAACCAAATGGGCCGACCCGACAGCGCACACACGAAGGCGCAAGTAGTGGGCCCATTGAACTCTCTGACCAGAGGGGCCTCAGGTATGGCTTTGCGCACTGCACGGCTTGGTGCACAGCAGCCCTGAGCGGGGCAATTTGCATTTGGCGCACTTGGGGCAGCTGCATGAGCATTCTGAATTCTATGTGCTTCATTGGTCGCTCAATCCCTCGGCTCAACCAAGGCAAAGGGCGAGATGTGCAGGCCGTTTGTCTTCCCACCCAGCCACTTATGGTGGGGTAGCGCATATCTGGGGTGCTTGGCGCAGCGCACGGGCTGCACACTTGACCAAAGCAAAGTGCTTGAATTGAATGCGCCCAAGTATGCGCGCTTTGCGCGCTGCAGAGGCGGCTGCGATGCAAGGGCAAGTGCGCAAGCTACCGGCATTTTAAGAGATCACAGGCACGCCAGGGTCTGGCGCGCAGGCCATCACAAAGGGGCGGTGGGGGAGACGCTCACGCGCGTTGTGTCCTCGCCCCCCAAACGACGCCATTCGCAGTATTGCCGGCCGCATCCACAGCGCACAGCCTGAAGCGGTAGCCCATGTATGGCTCGAGACCTGACACCACCGCAGACGTCGCCAGCCGCGCGGGCAGCGGCACCGCCGCTGCTGCGTTTCCGAAGGTGCTGCACTTTGGGGGTGGGAAGCTGCCCTTGCGATATGTCAGGAGGTATGACGCGACCCCCGAGCCTTCAGGCCCGTCGTCCACGCCGCTCGGATTCCAAGTCAAGCTGATCGTCTGAGCGACCACGCTACCCGACAGCCCAACAGCCCGCGGCGCCATCTGCGGCGGCGCGGTGTCGTAGACAATCGTTGCCGTCGCCGCTTCAGGTGTGGTGCGCATCGCTGTGTCTCGGAAGAATGCATGCAGCACCTTGGGCCCGCGGCCCGCCGACAGCTGCAGCGTCAATGCGGGGGCAAATGGGACCCACGGCGAGCACGTGACGGCGGTCGCGGCGGCGTCCTCCGTGACGCACATGTCGGCGACCGCGCCGGCGCCGCTGCCGGTGGTCGCTAAAGTGACGTTGACTGTGCGGGTGGCTGCGCCGGCCTTGCCGCCGTTGACCACGATGCGGCCCGAGAACGGCCCCCCGGCTGCCAGGCTGACACTGGCTGTGGCAGGCGCGTCCATGGTGTTCCCAACACTGTCTCGCAGCCACACATACACCGCTCTCGGCCCGTCTGGGCCGTTGGCAAGCGTCCAATCAACTGTCCCGCCACCAAACGGCAGCCATGGCGAGCACGCCGCCGCGCCGCCCCCAGCTGGCGGCGGCGCCAGGGCGCCGTCTGGCCCGGATGCCGCATTGAGCAAACAGTACTCCTTGACACCGGAAAAGTCCGAGGCAGTGATTGCCAGCTTGACGCCGCGCGTAACAAGGCCCGAGGAAGTTCCAGGAGACATTGCCGCGATGAATGCTCTGACATTTGCGGGCGGCAATGTGTCGATGACAATGGACGCCTCCACCGGCGCCCGCATCTCGTTGCCCGCCGCGTCCCGCGCGCGCACGTACACGGTGCGGCGCCCCTCCCCTGGCGGCAAGTCACGCGCCATCGCAGGCTGCAGGGCGACCCACCCGCCGCAGGGCTCGGGCGTGTCGCAGACCTGGACCTGCACCGCCCCGCTTCCGCCGGCGCCGTCGTCCGCGGCCAGCGCGAGCGTCACCCGCGGCGACGTGGCCACCGGGCTGCCGTTGCCCATGATTTTCGCGGTCAGCGTTGGCGGCTGCGTGTCCAGCCGGATCGAGGCGACCGCGGGCTGCGGGTTCGAGTTGCCGGCGGGGTCGCGCACGAACAGATAGAGCGTCTGGTTCCCGTCGGCCGCAGAGGGCGGGAAGGAATAGGGGAACGACGGCGGGTTTGACCTGAACAAGACAAGCTGGTCGCAGCCGTTCGGCGCCCGGGTGACACACGACCGAAATCCGTTGGCGTCGCTGCCGCCGATCGTCAGCGTGACCGCCCGGCTGCCCGTCCACATGGCGCCGCCATTGATTGCAATCCATGGGCCCGCCGGCGCCACGGTGTCAAGCGTCACGTTGACCGCCGCGGGCGCAGGCATGATGTTATTTCGAGTGTCGGTTAGCCAGACGTTGATGGTCTTCAGGCCGTCGCCGTCCGACAGCCGGAAAACGGTCGGCGACTGGAAGGGCAGCCAGCTGCCCCCACACGCCGACGCGCCGCCGGTGCCGCCCTCAGACAGGCACATCCGGGCGACGCCTGACGCGTCGCTCGCGGCTATCCGCAGCGACACGTCCCGCAGCCGCGTCCACACGGAGCCGCTGGTCAGCGCCACCATCGCCGTCGGCGGCACATCGTCTGCGGTGGCGTTGAGCAGCGCCTCGACGGCGGCGAGCAGGTTGATGCGGGGCCGAGTGACGCCGTTGCGCGGGTCCAAGACAGGCCGGCCGCTGGACGTGAGGGCCGCCACGATCTCATCGGCGGTGGCGACGGGCACGGCTGATTTCAGCACCTGCGGTGTCGCAACAAGCAGTCGCAGCAGCGGCAGGGGCAGCGGCGCAGTCCAGGAGTTGGGAAATCAAGAGTGCCCCTAGATGCTCGTTAATGTGTTCAGGATTAGGATTAGGATTGTTACAGCGTCCCGCGGTTGCCCGCTCCTGGAGCCATCCAGGCTCATGGGATTCCACAGTGAGGCACCAGTTGTTGGAGCGTCGGATACGGCTGCGCAAGCATGGGCTGCAAAGGCGGCGCATGAATTGCTTATCTTGAACCTCAGCCCTCGGCCTCAATTTCCCTGGGCGCCTCACCGCAATCGCGGCTGCGACATGAGGAGCGGCCTGGCTGGTGCCCGAGGAGACCCAGCCGCCCGCGTCGACGAGCACGCCGGGGGCGAGCACTGACAGGAATGGTGCGCTGGGGTGGTATCGAGATGGGGAGGGAGGCGGCACCACAGAACAATAAGGGAGCATGCAGGAGATCTGACCGTCTGGGTGAGCTGACCGGGAGGGTCTAGACACACTGTTGGAGCCGTCTTCGCTGAGGACGCAGCCGGCAGACTGCTGCTGGGCAATGAGTCGGCCGCAGCCGCAACCGCCAGCCAAAGGCGTGCGGGGGTGGCGCGCGCACGCGCGCACCTGTTTGAGAAGCAGGCAATGGAGTCCTGTCCGATGTTGGTGTCGTTGCAAACGCCCCAGGACTTGGAGGGCACCGGATAGTCATAAACCGCCCCCACAGATACAGCAGCAGGAGCGCACGCAGGGTAGGTGACGCCCGTTGCTGCGCCGTCGTTGCCGGCGGCGACGGCTGCAAGGACGCCGGCGGAGCGGAGGGCCGCGAGAGCCCTCGACATTGCAGAGCTCGGGCACTGGGCTCCAGTCGGCTTCCCGCTGCCGAGGCTGTGGAGCAGGGAGGGAAGTGGCGGGCTGATTGAGGTGCCAGCGCATGAGGGTGATGACAGTGTTGGAACCTAGCGCCGTACGCATGCTTGGGCAGACGCGCATTTCTCTTTCCCCCCTCCCACACACACATACACATGCGCATGCACGCACGCTCGCACAAACGCGTGGACACGCAGACACACATCAGGTGTGCATGCATGCTTGATCGCGATTTCTGATCATATGCCAGTCTTGCCAGAGCAGGCACCTGAGGTTGATGACGCAGATGTTGTAGGCGTCCTTGTTCTGCAGCACCCAGTCTACGGCCGCCAGCAGGTCGCTCTCGAATGCATAAGACAGCCGGAACACGTCAAGAGCCAAGATTTTGACGCCAGGAGCGACCTGTGGGTTGTGAGGGCTTGATGAGTCTGTGCACGTGCGGTTTGCGGGAGCCAGACGCTGCTCAGGCCTCGGGCTCCCGTCTGCAGGCAATGCAGAGTCCCTCAGCACACACACGCACACACGCACGCACGCTCGCTCTCTCTCTCTCTCTCTCTCTCTCACACACACACACACACACACACACACACACACACACACACACACACGCGCGCGTGCGCGCGCGCGTGTTCGCGCGCCCTGCACACAACCCCGGCAGCCCCACCTTGGCAATAATGCTGGCCACATTGGTGCCGTGGCCGGTGTCGTCCGCCTGCCCGTCGTCGTTGGGCGTGAAGTCCCTGGCGAATGGCACTCGGCACGTAGTGGAGGGCGCCCCAGGGCCAGAGCAGGACCCAAGGTCAGGGTGGTCGTAGGCTGCACCTGGAGTGCCGCCATGGATTTGATAATGCAAACAGGGTTGATCTGGAGCCCCAGGGTGGCGCCACAAGCAAAAGGAGGGTGCTTTTGTGCCAGGGTGTTTTTTTGTTGGGAAGGGGTGTTGAGGCTGCGCGGCAGGGATGAGTCGATGTGAGGGAGGCAGCAATTGCTCAAAAACCTGTGGAACTTGCACTGCCCGCTTTGAGCCATCCAGGTGGCAGGGCAAGCTGGCGCATCAGCAAGCCTGTCGGAAAGTGCGCGACCAAACAGATGCATGCGTGGCGCTCCCCCTCACCCGTGTCCAACACCGCCACAGAGCAACCGGTGCCGATGTACCCGTTTGCGGCCGCCTGAGGCTGCGCAATCAGCGAGAGGCTGTCCCTCATGTACAGCAGCCGCCGTTCCGGGTCACTTGGGTCGCTTCCGTGGCCGCCGCCAATTCTGCCGTTAGAGAACTCCCACTGGATGGTGAAGACTCGATCTGGCTCGACAGAAGCAACGTTGGGGTCCGCCCTCAGGGCGTCCAACGCTGCCACGCTGTCAATCGAAACAACGGATGCTGGGACGTCAGAAAAGTCCCGCGCGAGCCTCGCGCCCGCGCGCGCGGCGGGGCTGTCGGGCGAGAGCGCTCGGCCGCGCACTGCATCGCGCGCGGCGGCGCGCACGGCGCGCGACCAGCCGGTGGGGGCGCGGCGGAGGGGGCCGCCGGTGGCGAAGAGCGCGGGCGCGGCGGCGCTGGTCGCCATGGGCTCGTTCAGCGAGGCTGCCGCAGCGGCGACGTCCGAGTCTAAGATGTTGTACACCACAAGGAATCCTGCCCTCTGATGGCTATTAACTTTTGCCATCGCATCGTCGCCTGCGTCTGGCAGCGGCGCGCCTCCGCCGCTGCGCTGCCACACCTCGCGCCTCGTGCGCACAGGGCCGCCCACGCCGTCCGGGGGCGCGCCTGCTGCCGCGGCGACTGCCACCAATGCTGCTGTTGCTGACGCATTTGACGTGGTTGGACGCATTGGCTGGACGCCATCTGCGTTGATGTCGGCCGCAATTCCCTCGACCATTCCACCTGGTGCTTGGCAGGCGGGGTTTGGGCAGCAAAGCGGCGCAGCCCCCCGACCCGGTCACGAGTAGCAGCAGGACAGGCGGCGGGCGCCGTGCTGCCAATGAGTGTCAGATGGCGGCGATTTGCCGGGCGCGAGCGCTGCTTGTTCCTTGCAGCTCTGAGCGCCAGCCCGGCGGCTCGACATGCTGACGTGGATCAAAGGCAGTTGCAATAACAACCAGGCCCACCATGGATGCAGGGGAGCAGGAGGAGGGCCACCAGCATCCATCCTTTGCTAGAGCCAGCCTTCAGGGCACATTGCATGCCATGCATAGTAGACCACCCTGCAAAGCGAGCGGCAGGCAGCC